GCAGAGCAGTGCTTTATTATGGACAGACTCCTCCCCATCTTAGTTACTGTTGTATCAACATGTTTTGACCATGACAGGTTACAATTCAGGGTTACTCCAAGCAGTTTAGCCACCTCAACTTGCTCAATTTCCACATTATTTATTACAAGATTTAGTTGAGGTTTATGGTTTAGTGAATGATTTGTCCGAAATACAATGCTTTTAGTTTTAGAAATATTTAGGACTAACTTATTCCTTGCCACCCATTCTGAAACTAACTACAGCTCTTTGTTAAGTGTTGCAGTGATTTCACTTGCTGTAGTAGCTGACGTGTATAGTCATCCACATACATAGCCACACTGGCTTTACTCAAGGCCAGTGGCATGACATCAGTAAAGATTGAAAAAGGTAAGGGGCCTAGACAGCTGCCCTTGGGAATTCCTGAATCTACCTGGATTATGTTGGAGAGGCTTCCATTAAAGAACACCCTCTGTGTTCTGTTAGACAGGTAACTCTTTATCCACAATATAGCAGGGGGTGTAAAGCCATAACACATACATTTTTCCAGCAGCAGACTATGATCGATAATGTCAAAAGCCGCACTGAAGTCTAACAAAACAGCTCCCACAATCTTTTTATCATCAATTTCTCTCAGCCAATCATCAGTCATTTTTGTAAGTGCTGTGCTTGTGGAATGTCCTTCCCTATAAGCGTGCTGAAAGTCTGTTGTCAATTTGTTTACAGTAAAACAGCATTGTGTCTGGTCAAACACAATTTTATCCAAAAGTTTAGTTAAGCGTTGGTTAAAGGCTGATTGGTTGGGTATTTGAGCCAGTAAAGGGGGCTTTACTATTCTTGGGTAGCAAAATTACTTTTGCTTTGCTCCAGGCCTGAGGGCACACACTTTCTAGTAGGCCTAGATTGAAGATATGGCAAACAGGAGTGGCAATATCGTTCGCTATTATTCTCAGTAATTTTCCATCCAAGTTGTCAGACCCTGGTGGCTTGTCATTGTTGATAGAAACAATTATTTTTTCACTTCTTCCACACTCACTTTACGGAATTCAAAATTACAATGCTTGTCTTTCATAATTTGATCAGTTATACTTGGATGTGTAGTGTCAGCGTTTGTTGCTGGCATGTCATGCCTACGTTTGCTAATCTTGCCAATGAAAAAATCATTAAAGTAGTTGGCAATATCAGTGGGTTTTGTGATGAATGAGCCATCTGATTCAATGAATGATGGAACTGAGTTTGCCTTTTTGCCTAAAATTCCATTTATGGTGCTCCAAAGCTTTTTACTATCATTCTTTAGGTCATTTATCTTTGTTTAATAGTGTAGTTTCTTCTTTCTACTCAGTTTAGTCACATGATTTCTCAATTTGCAGTACGTTTGCCAATCGGTTGTGCAGCCAGACTTATTTGCCATTCCTTTTGCCTCATCCCTCTCAACCATATCATTTTTAAATTCCTCATCAATCCACGGGGATTTAACAGTTTTTATAGTCATTTTCTTAAATGGGTGCATGCTTATTAGTAACTAGGATAAGCAATTTCATAAATGTGTCAAGTGCAGTGTGTGGTTGCTCCTCATTACACACCACAGGCCAACAAATATTCTTTACATCAACAACATAGGAATTAACCATAGTATTTAACCATAGTATTTATTCACGTGGGTGTGTGAGTGTGTATACGGTATGAAAGCAAAGGTAACTGAACTAAATGAATATCGCCCCGTAGCACTCACCTCTGTCATCATGAAGTGCTTTGAGAGACTAGTCAAGGATCATATCACCTCTACCTTACCTGTCACGCTAGACCCACTTCAATTTGCTTACCGCCCCAATAGATCCACAGACGATGCAATCGTCATCACACTGCACACTGCCCTATCCCACCTGGACAAGAGGAATACCTATGTAAGAATGCTGTTCATTGACTATAGCTCAGCATTCAACACCTTAGTACCCTCCAAGCTCATCATTAAGCTCGAGGCCCTTGGTCTGAACCCCGCCCTGTGCAACTGGGTCCTGGACTTCCTGACGGTAGGAAACAACATCTCTACTTCGCTGATCCTCAACACTGGGGCCCCACAAGGGTGTGTGCTCAGCCCCCTCCTGTACTCCCTGTTCACCTATGACTGCGTGGCCAAGCACGCCTCCAACTCAATCATCAAGTTTGCAAATGACACAACAGTAGTAGGCTTGATTACCAACAATGACGAGACCGCCTACAGGGAGGAGGTGAGGGCTCTGGGAGTGTGGTGCCAGGAAAATAACCTCTCACTCAACGTCAACAAAACAAAGGAGATGATCGTGGACTTCAGGAGAGTGCACCCCCCTATCCACATCGACTGGACCGCAGTGGAGAAGGTGGAAAGCTTCAAGTTCCTTGGCGTACACATCACTGACAAACTGAAATGGTCCACCCACGCAGACAGTGTGGTGAAGAAGGCGCAACAGAGCCTCTTCAACCTCAGGAGGCTGAAGAAATTTGGCTTGGCACCTAAAACCCTCACAAACTTTTACAGATGCACAATTGAGAGCATCCTGTCGGGCTGTATCACCGCCTAGTACGACAACTGCACCACCCGCAACCGCAGGGCTCTCCAGAGGGTGGTGCGGTCTGCCGAACGCATTACCAGGGGCAAACTACCCGCCCTCCAAGACACCTACAGCACCCAATGTCACAGGAACGCCAAAAATATAATCAAGGAAATCAACCACCCGAGCCACTGCCTGTTCACCCCGCTATCATCCAGAAGGCGAGGTCAGTACAGGTGCATCAAAGCTGGGACCGAGAGAATGAAAACAGCTTCTATCTCAAGGCCATCAGACTGTTAAATAGCCATCACTAGCACATTAGAGGCTGATGCTGCCTATTGAAATCACTGGCCACTTTAAGAAATGGAACTCTAGTCACTTTAATAATGTTTACATATCTTGCACTACTCATCTCATATGTATATACTGTATTCTATTCTATAATATTCTACTGTATCTTAGTCCATGCCGCTCTGTCATTGCTTGTCCATATATATATATATTCTTAAATTCCATTCCTTACTAGATTTGTGTGTATTGGGTATATGTTGTGAAATTGTTAGATATTACTTGTTAGATATTACTGCACTGTCAGAGCTAGAAGCACAAGCATTTCGCTACACCCGCAATAACATCTGCTAAACACGTGTATGTGACAAATACGATTTGATTTGATTTGCATTTGTGTATGTGTGTATTTGTGTGTGTGTGTGTGTGTAGCAGGTATGGTGGTTGAGATACGAGGGTATTACAGTAAGTCTACAAAAATAGTTATTTGTTGTTTTTCCCATCCTCAGAATTTCCAGTAACCTGGGTGTTGATGCAGGAGATTTTAGGTTGTTTTGGTCAAAACCAAAATAGCGGGGAACGTATGGGAGTCCATATGCTCAATAGTTTTGATGAATCATGTCCTATGTCTTATGTCCTCTCTTTCTTAGGACATTTCTTTCAGAAACACATTTGTGCAGAGGTGGGATCAAGTCACTATTATTTGAGTCACAAGCAAGTCTCAAGTCATAAGGTCCAAGTTTCAAGTTGAGTCACAAGTAGAACGGGTCAAGACTCAAGTCAATTCCAAGTCCTGCATTCTAAGAGCAAGTCAAGTCCAGTCCAGTCATTTCAACACCATGCATACATGGAACAATCATTTTCTCTTATTCAAAGTTCTGACTCCAAAGTGTGTGGAGCCACAGGCCACGTAACTGATTTCTCTGTGCGCTGAGGTGCCCGTGCTCCTCTTACGCACAACAAAAATGACAGCAACATAGGAACTAGACACACGGAACTACGACATAACTCTGGAAATATGAAGAAAGGAAACCATACATTGAATAAACAGAACTTCTACCTCATGAGTCTTGCGAAAGTTCATGTGCACAATAAACATCGCGCCCACTCAGAGCAGGGTAAGAAATGGTTGGCTAAATGAAAATGTATCGTAAGCCTATTAAGCATGAAACAGATCAAGTAAATGTGTAGCAATAAACGGTAAAGGGATGGAATGATGAAATGCTAGCAATAGGCGACATGCACAGGCGAGCATGACGTATTTCCGGTTAAATCTCAGGATGGATGTAAACTTCCGGTTATCGTAGAATGCTGTGCTACCGTATGCTAGCATTGAATGCTTGTCGTCAAAAACATCCGAAACGGTTAATTGTTTAAATGTTTATGTTAATGTTTTTACTTGTAATACTTCGTCTTGACTTATAACACGATGACGTGTAAACATACGAAAGTGTCCTTTCAAAAATGGGATGACAGCTCTTCCAGCCAACACTGCTGTGTGCCGCAATGTACAGTGTCTGCCAGATGCAATTCTTCTGTTAGTTTTTTTACTTTTCCCAAAGACAGTGAACTACATAAACGGTGGGTGATTAACATTCGACAAGTCAACTTTCTTACAACAAACACACGAGTCTGCAGCCGACACTTTCTAAGTGAAGATGTGATAGAGCCTCCGACTCCAGCTGGGCGCAGACGTCTGAAGAAGGGAGCTGTTCCAGTGCTGTTTCAATGGAACAATTTCAGTCTTCCAGCCCCACGGCCCGGAGTTTGGGAAAGGACCGAGCGTCCCAACACAGAAACCATGAATGATCCGTCTGTGGAATTGGACTGTCCTCCTGACCATGACTACTGCAACAGTACTGAACCTGCTGCGCTGGAGATGTCCCTTGACCACAATGAAGAACTTAGTGTAGAGATAGCAAGGGTCCGAAATCAAATTGAGGAGATAACTATCAGCAGCAAGTTCTGCTTGGAGTTCTGCTCTAGATCTAGGCTATCTACTAGTGCATTAATTGTATTTTAAAATACTGAGAAGAGCAGTCAGCAAAAGGACTGACGTGTGCGTGGTCCAGTTTCTGACCTTAGTGCCAAATGTTCTAAGATGTTGTATAACTGTCAATAAGGATGCTAACATGCTTGCAATTTAATGTTGTGTATGGACACTTAACATATAGAAATGTAACACGTATGTCCCACAGGTTTGCAAGTCATGCCCACCTGATGGCCTTTTGGAAGCAGATAGAGCCAGCCACCTGCAAGATCATACGGGTGACAAGAGCACAAAGTGTAGCAAAGACTGATGAGGCCCCTCACACTGGCAATGCAGCGGTGAATATATTTTACAGTTGTTCTTACAAAGCAAGATATATTGCATCATCTTATTATCTTGAAAGTTAAGCCAGTAACAATCTATTTGTGTAATGAGGTAATAATGGAATTCTTACTCTTTTCAGGTTCTTCAACCCATTGACACATTTTTTCTCTTCGTGAATTACTTGTCATTGGGTCTGATGCAGAAGGATCTGGCCCACAGATCCAAAATCCACCAGTCAACTGTAAGCCGCATCATAAATACATGGGCTAACTTCCTGTATACTGTACTAGGGGCTGTGGGTATTTGGCTGGATGAGGAGACTGTCAAATCTCACATGCCAGAGGTTTTTCAGGGTTACTCTGACACACAAATTATTTTGGACTGTACCGAAATACGCTGCCAAACACCTAGTTCTCTTCTCCTCCAGAGTGAGGTGTTCTCGAACTATAAATCACACTGTACATTTAAAGGATTAATTGGGATGGCCCCTCACAGCACAGTAACCTTTGTGTCGTCTCTCTATGAAGGTGCCATCAGCGATAAAGAGATTCTGAAGCAGTCTGGCATTGTGGCTATCTTAAACCCATCTATGGCCATAATGGTTGACAAGGCTTTCCTTGTAGAAGACTGTGTGCCCTGCAAGGTCCACATACCTACCTTTCTGTGTAAGAGAGCACAACTGTCTGAGCCAGAGGTCAGGAAGACACAATCTATCTATTGCCAGACTGAGAGTCCACGTGTTGAGCGGCTCATTCGCAGGGTTAAGAAACATACATTATTCAGTACAGTAATCCCTCTTTCATTGACGGGCAGCATCAATCAACTTTGCACAGTTGCCTGTCTTTTGGTCAATTATCAAAATGGGCCCTTTGTTAAAGCCTGGGCAACCAATGGCTAATGTTGGCAGCACAATCCTAAAATGAACACTCATGGATGGCTATGGAACAAATAGGCTGTGATGAAATATGTAATGAAATTCATGTCTTTTTTTTTCAAGAATGTTTTTATTGAGCCACAGATTATCGTACAGACAGTAAATTAGTCAAGTCAGTGCTCACTTTTTTAGAACGGTAACAGTAAAGTTACAACTATTAATCTGTATACATACAATATTTGGTACAGAAAAACAGAATTAAAGCACACAGTGCGAAACCAAATCATAAATAATAAAGAAATGAGGATAGAGAAAAAAAAAAGGTAAGAGTGCATACAAGAAAGTCTCAGTATTTGTATGTTATAATTTGATATGTTACAATTTGTATATGTGGCAATTAAAGGGTAACTATGCAGCTTTTTTAGCTTAATTTACCTTAACTGAACAGCTTCGGAGTCATTGGAATGGTTATATGACTTTTTTCGAGTTGAATGGTGGTCGTGTCCCTTCCCCCTAGCGCCTGTGAGCGGAAAAACCACCCTTGCAACTTTCGGCCGGCGAGCCGCCGTCCACAGCGTCAGGAAGTATCGCGTGATATCAGGTCTCTCGATGTAACAAATTGCTTCACAGCACTGCACACATACGCCCATTCAGGAACCGGCTAACAAGGTAGCAGTGGAGTTTTTCACACTATCGTCATGGCTGAGCCGGCCAAAAAGAAGCAGAAAGCTAGGAAAGCATTGTCGGAGGAACAGAGAAAGAGGAAACGGCAGGCTGACCGAGCAAGGAGTCAGACACAAGTAAACATAGGAGCTGCCAAATATCTATATGTAGGGGGAGCTCTATAGAGAAAAAAGCGAAGAAATGACCAAAACTGCATAGCGCCCCTTTAATATTACAATGTTGTAAATAAGACAGTTAACAAAATAAATGTTAAAATGATTGTACAATAGTTCATGTGTCTGTTCAGTTACTTTTCATAGAGAGGTATTTTGACATGTATGTGTTAAAGAAAAACAAATCACTGCCTTTTTATTTATGAGATGGTATTAGGAGAGATGCTAGTATGCATGTGACACAACTGTCTGGTACTGTCTGGTATTGAAAAAACCATTGTTCGTGGTTTATGCCACTTCTGCTCTGTTTCAGTGCACGAAAGTACAGGAGGGACGACAGACATGCCACATTCAGAGTAATGGGCAGTCTGATATAGTAATGCAACCAAATGGTTGCATATCCCACACCCAGCCACACAGGAACAGTAGCTTTTAACAAGCACAACTGGCTGTGAATCACGCAATGTCATCTGAAATACACAGAAGCATAATTTAATGGGTTTTGAAAGACGAGGGTCTAAAGCAGCAGGAGTAGGAGCAAAACTTGTTCTTTTTACTTTTTACTGGTGTAAGCAACTTATCTACTGTCTCGTGTCACTTTTGTGCTTTCTGCATCACTTTCCTACTGTCTTGCACCACTTGGCTATACTGTCTCCCACCACTTACCTATTGTCGTGTGCCATTTACCTACCTTCAAACAGTTTTGGCAGAGCAGTAGGTGAGTGGTGCAACATTGTAGCCTAGTACCAATAACAACAGTAGAGTGAAGGTTTTGCTCCTAATTCCTCTTGAAAAGTAGAAACATCAAGTACAAAAGCAAGGAAGTTGGGCCATATGTTTATAAAGAAAGAAGTAAAGATGACAGGACAGTTTTGAGTAGAACATCAGCAGTCATCAAGTCAGGAAAAAGTAGTAATCTCATTATTGTTTACATTTCAAACCAAACTCCAATTTGTTTACAACAGACCCAACAACAAAGCATGGCAATTCCCACTCAGCTACCCTGGTCTGTATTAGGCTACCACTGTTCAGCTATCGTGAAAACCACTAAAGTTCTAAAGTGTTCTCTTAGCAATGGCAATCAAAGCTGTGGTAACATTAAACGAGTAAAACATGTGTTGAACGGAACCTTGAACAAGTTCAACAGAACTTTGAACGTGTCACTTAATCTAGTCCTACTCTCAGCTGGTGTGGTGGCTTTAGTTTCTTCATTGAGCGGTAGCAGTGGGCTCTCACAGAGATCTCATTTGTAGCCCTGTTTTTACCTGATACTTTCATAAAAGTACAAACACATGAAGTGAGAGGTATATACACATGATTCAACTTTATTTAAAGCATGATTAACCTGAAGCAGGACAGAGTCATGACTTAAAACACCAAAGCAAGGCTTCGAGCTCAGGCTAGCTAGCGTTAGCATATTACCTTCAAAGTTGCAAAGAAAAGAAGAAACGTCAAATTTGAAGCCTTTATCCAGTTTGCTACGTGGTGTCGTACTGGATGTCCGGACGACCCTCCGTATATCATTAACAGATACTTTAGGCAACTCCAGCAAACACCTTGTAAACTTCATCTCTGCCATCATAACGGTCTACTGTCACTGTCTAATGTTTTTTCCCGGTAACCGGAAATGCCCAAGCATCCTAGTGATGCGTGCATAGAGCCTATTATTGTAGTATTACATGGAATATAGATTTACCACATACAGTGGGGGAAAAAAGTATTTAGTCAGCCACCAATTGTGCAAGTTCTCCCACTTAAAAAGATGAGAGAGGCCTGTAATTTTCATCATAGGTACACGTCAACTATGACAGACAAATTGTGTTTTTCTGGATTTCCTTTTCTCATTTTGTCTGTCATAGTTGACGTGTACCTATGATGAAAATTACAGGCCTCTCTCATCTTTTTAAGTGGGAGAACTTGCACAATTGGTGGCTGACTAAATACTTTTTTTCCCCCACTGTATGCATTTAAACGTGTGAAAGCAACAGCAAACATTTTAACAAGAGAAAAAAGCTGTGCCTATGGTGCCTCTTCGCCACAGTGATAATTCAATTTAACAACAAATTCCAAATGCAAGCTTCATAAGTAAATTATCAATTTCAAGCAATTTTTACATACCAAAAGTAGGCCTATGCTAGTAATTTTTGCCCCATTGCTGGTGAGCTTGCAAAGTAACAGTTAATATTCTTAATCTTCAAACAATTTTTGGAGCTACATATTTATTTACTATGGCAATCCTCTCTACCTACAATTTAAGGTTTGTGCTGCACCTGATCCTATAGCTGTACTGCAAATCAGCAATCTGTTTGCTAGCTCACCCGACCTGTGTTGATTGACAGTTTGCTGGTCCAATCAGAGGGCCGAGTGTGCGTTTCACTAGCCAATCTGTTTCAGTTTTTTTTTTTGCAAGGGCGATGCTGCGGCTACTGTCTCTGGCTGCGTGTAGAGTAATCCACATAGACTCTGTGCCACAAAATGAGTGACAAATTATTACAAAACCTGGCCAGATAATTTCAAGTCATCACTCTCACGTCAAAGTCGAGTCCCGAGTCTTGAGGCCCCAAGTCAGGTAATTTTATTTTCTATCAAATCGAGTCTCAAGTCATGACATTTGTGACTCGAGTCCAAGTCATGTGACGAGTCCACAACTCTGCATTTGTGTACTAATCTATTTTAGCCTATATAATTTAGTCTCACTTTTTTTTTTACAGTATGTTTAATTAGCTTATATAATGCATCTACAGTTGATCCCCATAGGTTGTTTGTTTTGTTGCAATATGAAGGAAACATTTATGTTCAACTCAGATGTCACGATCGTCTGACGAATGAGTAGACCAAAGCGCAGCGCGTTGAGCGAACATGACTTTATTTAATTAAAGCCTGGAACAAAACAACAAATAAGAACGATACGTGAAGTCCTCTGTAACACTGACAGAACATGGAACAAAAACCCACAACACTAAGGTGAACACTGACAGTTTAAATATGGCTCCCAATCAGAGATAACGAGCCGACAGCTGACACTCGTTACCACTGATTGGGAGTCACACGACCAAACAAGGAAACACAACCCAAATACAACACAACCAATACCAAACAACCAAATGAACACACCCTGGCTCAAAATACACAGTCCCGGAGCCAGAGCGTGACAGTACCCCCCCCTAAAGGCGCGGACTCCGACCGCGCCTACACCCCAAATAGGGGAGGGCTGGGTGGGTGTTGCTCCTCGGAGGCGGCTCCGGCTCCGGGCTTGACCACCACCCTACTACAATCCCCCCGTAGTGCCCCCAGTCCGATCTGACCCAGTTAGCTGGATCAGGTCTGCCGACGCGCACCCCTGGCTTGGCGCGTGAGGCAGGAATGGACCGGACCTGGCAGACGATACGCACCCTTTGCATGGTGCGTGGAGCCGGAACAGGCCTCACCAGGCTGAAGACTCGCATCCCTGGCTTGGTGCGAGTAGCAGGAATGGGCTGAATCCGGCTGACGACTCGCACCCTTGGCTTGGTGCGAGTAGCAGGAATGGGCTGAATCCGGCTGACGACTCGCACCCTTGACTTGGTGCGAGTGGCAGGAACAGGCTGA